GTTGAATGGCTCTGCTGCAGGCAGCAGCACTGTCACATTTATCTCCCGTGTTGCATTCAGTGCCTGTTTAATATCCACAGCTGTGCACACATACAGACCTGAGTCACTAACCTTAGCTGCTTGGATCTCCAAGGTACCATTAGGAAACAGGCTAATCAGTGTGTCATCTATGCTGGCCTGGGTAATGAACCCCTTGCTGGGGGACAGCCATGTAAATGAGAGGTCTTTGTTTCTCAGGGATGTTTGGCAGTCCAGATGCACTCTTTCTCCCTCTGAAACCAGCAGACTGGAGAGGAGCACTGTCACCGGCTGCGAGACATCTTTCTTCACCATAGTGCAGTTGTGGAAGAAGCGGGTGTCTCGCAAGAACCGGATAGATGCTTGTGGGTTCTCATAGATGGAACAAGTGTGTTCATCCATAAAGTCTTTCACTGAGTTATAACCCCTCAAATTCCAATGCCAGAACACACTGTACATAGAACAATCACAGATCAGAGAGTTGTTGTGGAGATAGAGCCCCCTCTGCACTGACCCAGGCAAGGTTTTCACATTCTCCCAGGGCAGACTAGTCATATGATTGGATGAGAGATCCAGCATGGTCAGGAAAGGGTGACTGTAGTCTCTGATGGAGAAAAACGGGAAGTGTGTGATCTGGTTGAAGCTGAAGTAGACATTTTTTAAGCTGCTCAGACTGCTTAGTGTGCCAGCCTCCACCTCTGTGATCTTATTGTTGAAGAGCAGGAGCTGCTCCAACCTCCATAGCCCCTGGAAGTAGTGCTCCTTCACCACATGCAGCCTGTTGGAGGACAGGTCAAGGTGCCTGAGACCAGAGGCATTGAGAAATACACCGTGACCCAGGGTGCTCAGCTGATTGTGGGATATCTGGAGGTTTTCCAGTCTGGACATCTTGTTAAAGCTGCCTGGACCCAGCTGGGACAAATGGTTGTGACTGAGGTCAAGGGTGACAGAGAAGGAAGGCAGGGACAAAGGTAGCTTGGTCAAACCACTGGAGCTACAGCTTACTGTGTCAGATATACAGAGGCAGATTGATGGGCAGGTCTCCTCAGAGCCATGGAGGAGACAGGACAGCATCAGAAGAAGGCCTGCATACAGTCCAGAGGTCATGTTTTTGTAAATTGGATCCTTCAAGGTTTCTAATCCCTGCAGCTCTCCCTGGTTAGATAAACAATCAAATGAGAATGATGTATTAAAAGGCTGTTTGTCGACTCATCCACTGCCTTGACTTCTTCAGCTGATGTACAAAGTGACTACAGGGTTAATACCATATAGGAGCCCTCACTATCTATAGCAGAAGATGAAAAATGCTTCAGTGGAGTAGCAACAAATCCCCTTTGCCTTAAAAATGTTTAACTCAGCTTTAAATCAGCTTACCTCAGACTGTTCAAGCGTGTTGTATGATCAGATAAAGAATATAGATTTTATGGTGAATCTTGTTCTCAGTATTTAAATAATTGTACACTAAATGGTAAACTTTGAAACACAAGATCTTAGTGTTTAAACATCATGAGATGTTTCTTCTCAGTTGGTATTAAGTGACTTCCAGTTGAACATTATTAGACACCAGCTCAGGGGAAAAGTTCATACCACTTTTAGACACATGAGCAATTTGCCTCACTTAGTTAATCCTGTTATCTCCTCAAGAAAAAGCTAACAAAATAAATATAAAATGTCCTATAACCACAAATCCATAATAAACCACTTAGCAACAACAAGAGCCCCCAACTATTTTCTGCTTCTTCTTCTTCAATCCCATGAACAAATACTCACAACACTCGTGTCTAATCCTTATCTCAGATCCTAGTCCCAGGGCGCTCTTGAAATAACGCTCAGCTCTTGTCTTCTCAGCCAGGTTTAAGGTCCCTTTACTGGCTGTCTCCTCATCCCAAATGAGAGCGCTGCTCAACAAACATCCTGCAGTCCTTTGCAGAGTATATCAAACAGCAAAGAGCTCACTTAATCTCCCGCAAGCCCCTCCTCTTTCTATGTGTCATTTAGAGACATGCCTTGTGTTTCCTCTTTCATCATTAAGTAATGATGTTGGTTGCTGCCGTCTCTGTTTCTCTCTTTCTCAACAGTATCAGTTTTCCCACAGTACTCTATTATATCCTATTTCATTAAACTTTTAGTATATTGTTTACTAGCAAATTTGTGAATATGGTGAATATTACAATATTGTAATATTGTTTGCACTGTTTGTTGCTTGTTAATACTGTTTATTTTGTTATACTACACACCTTATGCTGGTTTACTGTTTCCTTGCCCCTTGCATGGGGATATGTACATACACACATTGAGAGCCGATGTACCAGAGTCAAATTCCTCGTGTGTCTGACAAAGTGTGGCCAATAAAGCAGATTCTGATTCTGACATGTTATTCATTACGCGTTGCCCAATAATCCCAGAAGACTGAAATTTGGTGTGTGTGTGTGTGTTTGTGTAAGTCTGTCTGGATGTCGGAAGTCTTCTCACTTTGAAGGTCTTATTACCTGTGTGCCTCCTCACCTTGTCGTTTCTGTGTTAGTGGTTTTGAGTGGATAGCTGTTACCTGGCCCCCCCAGCCCTCCTCTCTGAGCCTGAGACACCCCTCCTTCCCCTCAGCTGATGGTTTGACTGGATATATGCTGTCCATGTTTCTTGGTCATGGTGGTCCTGACAGCTCTGATTTCTGTCACAGTGAATTAATGTTGCCTCCCAGCAGCCACCTCCTCACTGCTACTCCCAACCCTCCTCACCATCCTCCCTGTAAGTGCTTGGGGGCTTTGAATAGCTCCCACTCACTCACTCACACTGCAGATGCACATAGCCAATTCCCTGTGGATTCAAGCTTACTGAATGGGATTCACTCTTCAAAAGGTGGACTGCTGACGGTCACAGATGTGTAGTCCTCAGGAAGGTCGATGCAGGAAACAGAAGGGGGAATGTTAGGTGTGAGGTTTAGGTCTAAAACTGGTTCACAAAATTTTTCCTCAGGGTTTCAGAATAAGAGTAAGGATAAGAAAACATGATTGCTTGTATTTGTGTCGAAATGAACAAGCTATTACCATCTTTGGCATTGTGGCATGACACACAATCTTGTCCCAAGGCTAGTCACCATCTTGGCTGGAATATGTAAGAAATATATACACCCACACGTTACATTTGAGACACGTTAGAAAAGGATTAACAACAGGCCTTCCTTGTACTGGAGGTGTTAGGTTTATGTGGGCTTATGTCTTGGCTCGAATGACCTCGGATCATTTTGTCTGTTTTCTTGCTGTAGATAAAATGTTTATCCGGAGAGCTTTTTAAATATTCATGTTTCATTGATTGTTGAAGGTGTTGTCCAACACTTGTGGTTGTTGACTCATGCATATATTAAAGGATCACATAAGACCTATAAACCAGTGTTCTCATCTGCATAAGCTGGTAATGATTCATTTTTTGGCGTGCTCAAAAAATATAAGCATAAGAAGCATTTAAATAAGGTGTATCATCATGCCAGCACAAAGTCAGTGACTGCATTTGTTTTTAGATATGGTACAACTGTGCTGGCAGCATATTATTTTTCTCAGCCAGCCCTTGCTTAGCTGTGGTTGACATAACTTGAACATTTCAGGGCCACATTATTTTCAGTATTGACTTCTATCCCGTAAAGGATCTATCATTTTTAGTGCACACAGTTGTCATCATCCTCAGGTAAACGAGATGGTCAGGCTTCTGTGCAGATTTACTTATTTTGTAAGACAATTATTTCTGTCTTCTCTAATAATACAGAGATAATCAATGTGTCTTTGGTCCTCTAGAATGTCAGCATTAATGCCCTCTTCATGTCTTCCACTCTCTTTCCACTCAATGTGGTTAACCTTTTGATCTGTGAGTCTCTTTGTTTGTGCATGTGTCTATTGTCAGACTGCATCGTGTGGCTACAGCCTGGTGTTCTGAAAGATTCCTGACCTAATCAGTATTGTTGTATCAAGCTGCTTTGCAAATCCTGCTGTCCTCTTTCACATATACTATTTGATTAGAGTCATTGTATGCAAAATAGTCCTGTCAAATTAGTCAGGCTCAGAGTGGACCTCAAAGCTTAAACCCTGCCCCTGATGCATCCTGTCTCCAGCAGAAAGTGATTTTCTCTTTACCATCTACTGCTGAGAGAAAGGAGAAAGGAAAAAAAGAACCACACAGCAGCACAAGGAAATGTCTGCTCTTATCTTGCCCTTGAGAGGCAATGAAGCTCAGTAAGACTCAGTAGTATAAAGATTTATATTCTAAGATAAAAAATAATATTTTTGTTGAACTGAACATTAAACCACTGAAACGCAGAGATGCATAAATGTATTTAAGCCTTTTTTCTCTATGCTCAAAACCAGAATCAGAATCCTCTTTAATTGGCAAGTATGTTTGAACATACAGGAATAGAAAATACCAACAAGAATAAAAATAGAGCAATAAAATGAAAATAAACATGGTGTGCATTCAAAAATAGGAAAGGAATGAGAGGAAAAGAGAGACAGCATTAATAAATATATGTACATTATATATACATTACAGCAGAAGAGCTTTCAGACTGATATATACAGTGGTTATATTTAATTTAATTACATATTTTTATTATATTTAATTACATATTCAATTTACAAATAGCTAGGCTCATACGTTAAAGTTAACTTTCTGCACAATATCCATAAAAACACAATGTCAATTTGCTTTATTTTAACTTAGTTCAATAATATATTGATTTGAATAATAAACTGAAGCTGAAAACAGAGAAAAAACAGCATCAATCTGTATGTTTATTATTGAATATTTCACAAAATATCAGGGCAGGACAAGGCACAAGAGCAGCTCTGACCGCCACATTAATGCACTGCAGCAACTTTGTAAACTGTGCAGCTGAAGGATTTTTATAGCCTCTGTCTGCCACTTATGAACCCTTGAACCTGAACATACGCACACTTGCTCAGTATTTATTTTGCCTTTCAATAGCTTTTTGTTAGCATGGCTGGCGGCCAGCCTCTCAGCTATGAATGAATCAGTGCCTGGATAAAGATTTGGAGGATTGAGTTTCATCTCTTTTCTTTCCCTGGATGAATCTGCAGCCTGGATGAAGTCTCCATTAAAGAGGAGTTTCAGACAGTGCAAATTGTTTGTTTGTGACAAGGAGCTGCTCAGCTGCTCCATATGAGCTGTGTTCACAGTGACTGTAGTGCATTACTCTATTTAAGCATGTCTAACTCCAAACCCCCACAACCTGGTGAGATAGTGGTTTTATATGCTGCATAATATGAGTCTCACACCCAATATTCTCAGAGATAGTATAGCCATATCTTCTTTAGTTAGAGCTTTTCTCCACTCAGCTCATTTGTACTTTCAAGTGTGAAGAGACAAGCACACCATCTAGTGGTTTAAGACCCAGCTGCCTATCACTATTACCACTCAGGGAAATATTATAAGATTTACTGTAGATACATTCAATTAAAATAATGGAATATTACAAAAAATACTGTAATTTCTTGGCCAGGCATAGTGAAATCAGCACAGCCCTTTGTTTTGTAGGAATTAAACAAACAAGGTTGAACTTTTTATTGTTATACAGGTCCAGCCCAGCTGTTTCTCACTGCTTCCAGTCTTTATGCTACATTATTTAACTGGCTGCTAGCTGAGCTTCATATTAACAGAATTACACGACATTAGAATTGATCTTTTCATCTAACGCTCAGGAAATAGTTTGTCGCAGAATGATTCATTTTGCATTTTAATTTCTTTAACTGTCTGTCTTCAATTATAACATTCACAATAAAATGAAAATAATCTTACTGAGGTAAAATCTGGCTCGTACGCTCATGTGTGCAGATGTTTGGCTGCTATGTTTATGTGACCTATGAGCACAGGAATAAAACATCTAGATTGTAATGCAAAGCCAAAGCAATATACAGAGAGTACTGTAGTGTGCAGGGCTCGGGGTATGAACAGCACCATGTCTCCTTAGTCTCTATCATCTGTGCTGATTGTTAACGGATTTCAATTAGGACTCACAGGAGTTAATATGATTGCTCTCTGTTTACCCTTTCTTGCTTCCTTCCATAGAAGCCAATTATGTATGAGTAGCAGTAGATGAGTACTGG